AAAAACCATATTACTATCGATAGTAACACAGCTCTATCATGCAGAGGCCATCAACGACCAAATTACCATTTTTATGAACGACTTCTATATAAACCAACCCCAAAGTTATTAAAGTCGTAACATGGCCGTACAAGACTCTAAGGACCGGTTATTCAATGTCCGGTCAACACAAATCGGAGGTAGAATCTCCGGTTAAATACAACGACTCCTTTAGAGACCACAAGTTATACATATGCATGATGTCGAGAACGTTGATAATGATGTTTAACTGGTAGTCATAACCAGACCGGCTACAGGGGAGTTAACAAAATTTTGAAAAAATGCATCGCAAAAATAATAACAGAAAAAATATACGCGAAACATGACAGAAAAACTGCAACAACCACAAATAAGGAATCACAGATGCCAACTACGGAAACCAAGAGGAAGAAAATAACGGATAATCAAGAAGATGTAACCAGCTGATTTCTACCTATCTGAATATATACACCATAGAACAGCAACTGCCTGTTAGACAATAAAAAAATAGGTTCCGCTAATGCGTCAGGTATGCAAGAAAGGTGAAAAACCAGGAACATAACACGACTATTAACATTTACGGACGAACAGAAACTATTCAGAACGACAAAAAAAAAATCGACACTCAAGATGACAAAATGCCGAAACCGAGTTGTCTTTAAAATAAATTGGACAAGGGATGACGAAAAATCGTTTCACAATGCATCAAAGTACAAAAAAAAGATTATTTAGAACCACACAGCTGTTAATCTAATGTCTGTTTCGCTACAATCGGCTATCGAAGACCACTAAAAAAGGATTCCCCAAAATCTTAGAAGAGGAAAAGTAGTTATTGCAAATGAAAAAAAAACTAAAATAAACTTTTAAATATATAAATTGATTTTTAATTTTAGCCCGAAACAATAGATATATTTGAGCAACTACAAAATCCATGCCCTGTATTTAGAAATTTCTTGAGGTATGCATTGCGAGCAGGAGATCTAATATGCGCCTGTACATTTAATTAAATATTTTTTTTTAAATAAAAATTTGTTTACTTTTCAATGCCACATCATTGTGCAAATTAGCAAGATCATTTACCCGCAAACTCAATTTATTTATTTTTTCTCTTTACAAAAGAAACAGCTCTACAGCGGAAAGCTGATCTCCCACTAATCTAGACTTTGGCAATTGAAATTAATTTTTGTATTATTTATTTAATTACAAATAACGTACCAGAAAAAAACATTGAAATAAACTTACACTGCACATGCTTAGAAGAAAAAGTATTTAATTTAAAATAATTTACATAAAATTACACAATCATTGTCATTTACGCATTTCGCTGATTAAGCCCAGCAAAATAAATCAAATTCAGCAAACGGAAGTAATAAATCAATAAAAAAAGCTTTTATGAAAATAAGCGAATTAAATAAATTAAATTTTCGGCAGGAATATTATTAAGTAAGCTGACTGGCGTTTGCACGTGATTGTTTGTGTCATGACATTTTTTATTCAATCTTATAGGCGGCATACACGGTGCGCCTGACTTGCGAGTGGATTTGGATGTGTTAGTGAAATTAAATACACTGCCGGAAAAAAGTATTGACACACAGCATTTTTTACAATATATGTAACCATTTTTTTTTAATTTTTTTTTACGTTTTTATAAATACATGGTTAATTCTACAACAAACTTTGTGCAACACTCAAAAAAGCTTAGGAAAATTCAGTAAATTTTCATTCAAGTTTTTAATTTTATAATCAAATTTTTTAGATTTTTTTTTTTGAGTATTCAGTTACGTAGCCCAATCTATTTGATTACAGCTTGAAGTAGCGGAAAACAATTAGAATAAGAATTGTTGCATATATTGTGAAAAATGCTGTGCGTCAATACTTTCTTTCCGGCAGTTTATGTCTTATTTGCACCGCGATAACTCTGAATGACTCAACTGTGTGTAGTCGGAATGCGAGTCAACTCGTAGTGTCGCGTACACAGATGACTTTGGAGTCAGATGCACCGTCTATGGCACCTATTAAAATTTTTAATTCGTATGTTTAATCTGCTTTGACATATTTTCTGAGGATGCTCATATGAATATATAATTAGACTGTCTGTCTTACCCTCCCTAGAATCTAATCTATGTCATATTCTTCCTCAAACAAAGTATACAATTTTTGACTCAAATTAAAATATATTGCATCAATACAAGGTCATTCGTGAGCTGGGCGACATTGATAGTACATCGAAAAATTACGTTTTACTTGAATTCGTAAAAGCGCTAAAAAACTGTACTTTACAGTTACAGTTACTTCTTTTGAAATTTATTGACTTAGCGAAATTTTCGTGCTTCACTTGACGTGACCTTGTCATGTGCAACAAATTAGGCTACATACATACATATACCGCTGACGCCATTTTTTGTTTACATAGCAGTTTTTTTTATCATTTGGCGACCATCTAAATTTTGCTCATATAGACCAGCAAATTAACAAAAATACATTACAAAACTTGATGTTTTCTTCGCTAGGATTAAATATTAATAAGGTGAAAACATTGTTTCATGTAAGTCCAAAAGTTGATATGGTACAAAGGGAAGATATAGTCCACCAACTACCGCAAATGTATGCATATAAAAATATATGTTTACTGTTTAGGTACGTGTATGTACTTTTAGGTACAACTTTTCAGCAATAGGTACAATATGAAAATTTAATATTCATCACTAGTGCGAAAAAATAATAATGTGACGTTAGCGAAAGGGTGGATGCTGTCAAATCGACAAGCGGGAGGATTAGCCGTCCGCTGAAGACGCCACCTTTGTTTCGCTGCATCGTGTGTCGTGTGGCCTTGAAGGTTTTTATTTTTTCTTTCGAAAATTACTAATACACTTGTGCGCATCACTTCTCTCTCAAATTAATATTGCCAGCAAACAAAAAAAAAAACCAAATATCATGGCTTTGAGTTTCTTCAAATCTGTTTTAGCTTTATTATCTTATCTACATGAATACGAAATTTTTATAATTTACGTTGATACGCCATTACATGCGTACAGGGCCGGATTAACATGTGTGACGTCCGGGGGAATGTGGGGCCCTATAGCGACATCAAATGTAATAATCGAAACATTTTTCTTTCACAACTACATTGGTTTGATAACTACATTTCAGTACAGAAATTTGGCATTAGAATTATTACAAAAAGTTCGTAACACTAAAGTAAATTTGTCAAATCTAAATCATGCTGTAAACTGTAAATCCCTGTTACAACATAAAACCTCAGTTTTGAATTAGGAGGTACGATATAATCGATAACAGCCACAAGGGAATGCCCTAAAGGGATGTAATCTCACTCCCTGTTGGACTATGGTAATAGACGAACTTCTTTTCCAACTGAACAGTCAAGGCTACGCAGACAATGTTGGTAATCTGCAACAAGCCCTACGCATCACACAAATTATTCCTACAAAAACTATTTTTGAGCGGAACAGAAATATAATATTGCAGCGAAGCAAAATGTATTCTTCCGTGGCATAGTAGACGAAGGCTACACAAAGAACCACCAGCACAGAATGGTTTGCATCGACATAACAGGAGAAATGAAAACATGCCAGATTGACGGAATCAGCGCCATGATTGGAATACTCCTTTCCTATTTTAATATATAAAAAAAGAGGCGACACCAGCTTCTGAGAATCCTAAACACCTCCGACCTAAAAATCGGAAATATGACAGATTACATGAAGGTCCTAAATAAATTCATCAATGAGCACCGTACTACAAATGCGCGATGCAATAGTTCCAAAACTAGACATGTCCACAAAATTTGAGATACTCATTGCAAATCGAGCTGTCTGAAATGCCCACACACAGATGGATCTAAGCTAGATAATGGAAAAGTGGGGCTGTCGTATTTGGGCGAACTTCAAAAAATCAATGCCAATAGAAATCTGCTGCAGAGAATACCTTAGTCGTTTCTCTTCTGTGATAACTGACGCCAATTCGAAATACCAAATGAAGCCAAGTACTTCTCCACTTGGTCTTGGGGCCCCGAACGACTTGCCAAGCTAGCGGAGCCGCTGTATTTTAATTCGCTGCTCTATGTCCATGTCGTTGTAAAGCTCATACAGCTCATCGTTCCATCGTCTGCGGTACTCGCCATCGCCACCACGTAAAGGTCTTCTCTCGAGCGCCCCAAGAGCCGCCTCATCGGATGTTGTCATTGTCCATGCTTCTGCACCATATATTAGAACGAGCATGATGAGAGAGTTGTACAGTGTGATTTTCCTACGTCGAGAGAGAACTTTACTCCTGAATGGCCTTGTCAGTCCAAAGTAGCACTTGTTGGCAGGAGTTTCAGGATTGGTACCTGGGAGACGTGATAGTGGAGGCCGACTAAGGAGCTACTGCAGTGTTTCACGGTCTGGAACCCGTTTGTGGGCTTACCAAAGCACACGTAAAGGACCGCATAAGTAAGTGGGTAAACAAAATATTCAACAGGCATTGGATGGAATCTCCAGGGCAGAGGCAAGCCAAACGATTTATTGGTCTGGCAAATTAAGCTTAAAAGAAACTTAATTTGTTCAGAGAGGATCGCAGAATAATCAGTGGGTACTACACGGAACACAAGAGGCAAAATTGGACACATTGGTTACTTTATTTAGAAACAAAACTTCAAATGCAATTGTAAAAAAGAAGTTCCCGAATTTGGTTACTTCAAAAACAGTTGAGTGGATCCTGAAAACACTGGCTAGAGAGATTCATATTTTATTGCTAGTGAGTATGCTGCAGACACATTTTTTTAGTGCCTTGACTGATTTTATGAGTTATATTTGTATGTAATTGCAGAATAATTAAGTTAACCATGCATTAAAAAATGCATTTATTCTTTTTCATTGCAAATATTAAACCAAAAAAAAAGTACAACAATTAACAACTTTAATCTAAAAATACTAATACTTTTCATACTTAATATATACTACTATTTAAACAGTACTTTTATTTTAGTTTGTGCTAGTCACATCCCGCTCAACTGGGCGCGGTGGCGGCTCTTCAAAATCAGGATTTTTCGCCTTGCAGCGCTCCTCATACGATTCATTTGGTATCACATCTGCGCTTAACGTAATTAGTCTATCCAATGGACACTGAGTGCCACAATTTGGTACATGCAACAACTCGGCGCAACCCTTTTCGTTATTGCGTAAATAAATCTGAAAATAAATGAGGTGAACACTTCTTAGAAGAAAGTTTCACTTGAAAGGGATAAAAATACGCACCTCTACGTAGTATTCACCAGTCTGCTGATTTTGATGCAACTCAAAAATAGTTAAAATCGCAAATCGTGGCATTTGACGCTGCCACACATTCANTTAACCATGCATTAAAAAATGCATTTATTCTTTTTCATTGCAAATATTAAACCAAAAAAAAAGTACAACAATTAATAACTTTAATCTAAAAATACTAATACTTTTCATACTTAATCTATACTAATATTTATACAGTACTTTTATTTTAGTTTGTGCTAGTCACATCCCGCTCAACTGGGCGCGGTGGCGGCTCTTCAAAATCAGGATTTTTCGCCTTGCAGCGCTCCTCATACGATTCATTTGGTATCACATCTGCGCTTAACGTAATTAGTTTATCCAATGGACACTGAGTGCCACAATTTGGTACATGCAACAACTCGGCGCAACCCTTTTCGTTATTGCGTAAATAAATCTGAAAATAAATGAGGTGAACACTTCTTAGAAGAAAGTTTCACTTGAAAGGGATAAAAATACGCACCTCTACGTAGTATTCACCAGTCTGCTGATTTTGATGCAACTCAAAAATAGTTAAAATCGCAAATCGTGGCATTTGACGCTGCCACACATTCAGCGCCGAGAGTATGTTGCCCACTGTCCAATCATGCCCGGTATAGATGAACAGCTTACGATCGCTAGGACTGAGTTTGCCGCTACGCTTTTGCAACATTTCAGCAAACATCTTCTTGAGGAATGGACCACCCTTTATTTTCTGCATTTCCTTTGTATAAGCATTGTAAACATAACTTTGCTCGGCTAAAAATTGCATTTTTTCCGGATAGTAANCTATCCAATGGACACTGAGTGCCACAATTTGGTACATGCAACAACTCGGCGCAACCCTTTTCGTTGTTACGTAAATAAATCTGAAAATAAATGAGATGTACACTTCTTAGATGAAAGTTTCACTTGAAAGGTATAAAAATACGCACCTCTACGTAGTATTCACCAGTCTGCTGATTTTGATGCAACTCAAAAATAGTTAAAATCGCAAATCGTGGCATTTGACGCTGCCACACATTCAACGCTGAGAGTATATTGCCCACGGTCCAATCATGCCCGGTATAGATGAACAGCTTACGATCGCTAGGACTGAGTTTGCCGCTACGCTTTTGCAACATTTCAGCAAACATCTTCTTGAGGAATGGACCACNGCAACTCAAAAATAGTTAAAATCGCAAATCGTGGCATTTGACGCTGCCACACATTCAACGCTGAGAGTATATTGCCCACGGTCCAATCATGCCCGGTATAGATGAACAGCTTACGATCGCTAGGACTGAGTTTGCCGCTACGCTTTTGCAACATTTCAGCAAACATCTTCTTGAGGAATGGACCACCCTTTATTTTCTGCATTTCCTTTGTATAAGCATTGTAAACATAACTTTGCTCGGCTAAAAATTGCATTTTTTCCGGATAGTAATCTGGCGTCCATGTTGGTAGAGAATAGCCGAATTCTTTCTGTTTTTATTAGAAAAGTATGAAAAATAGTTACGGTAAATAAGTATTTTTAAAATAGGCGTGGGCGAATAGAAAGCCCTGTGTATTAGAAAAAAGCAGTGGGAATCGGAAAGAGTCAGTTGCAAGTGATTTATTCGCAGACACAATGGAGCGATTGCCTTTATGACGACATTTCTGCGCATACCACACAGAAAGGAGCTAACGTTCCGCCAAAAAACCAATTCTCTTTAGTAGGCTATAGTAAGGCCCGGCAAAGTTTCACTTCGATTTGCAATAAAACATGCAGATCCGCAAGGTTTTAAGGTAGCCTGGATGGCGACATCTATTCCAGGAGAAACCGTTCCGATAACGATGCTACCGTGGCTTCAGAAAAAAATATCTTGGAATTATCCCTGATAAGAGACTTAGCTATAATTTTCATCTAGACAGAGCTGTTAATAAATCCACTTGAGTAGGCCTGTAGGATATGGTGTCTGAACTAAGTCAATAGAATGGCTATAGCGTATGATAGTCCAAACGAATGAGAACTTGTTCGACCGCAGCGCTAGAGAAGCTTCTGAGAGTAAGCAGCAGCAATGTCGAGAGAACTGCAGATGCAAATATCAGGGTGGTATTCTTGTTGAGAATAAGCAATAGTAAGGATTATGGATAAACCTCTAAGATTGGAAAGATGCGGGTATACTGATTTTATTTGTTTTGGCAGAAAGTTCCTGATCGAAATCAATAGATTCACAATCCTCCAGGCCGAGTTGCTGGCATTTTTAACCTGTGTTAGATTGAAACTTGAAAAAAGGTTTGAACGACGGGTTTATAGTTATATTTCCAGACAGCCAAGCGATCCTCATGGCCCTATACAAAAGGATGGCCACCTACAGCCTCGTCAGAACTCCAACTATCGACAGCGAGAAACGTGATAGCACTGGTTATAACGGCATGAAAGGCAACGAGATTTCTGACCAACTGGCAAAGGCTTAGTGATAGTCTGTGCTTGTGAGGCCAGAACCATTTTTGCGTACTCAAGTGGCCTTCTTCGAGTGGGTAAACTGAGAGCAAGTTAAGTAATGCGGGAGCGGTAGGGGGCCTTAGACACACCAAACTCTGTCGCTTGTTCTATTATACTACATATACTAACTAACTGAGAATCAAAAGTTCACTCGTCAGGGCACCTCTGTCACGGCTAATAGTCCAAACAGTTTTTTCTTTCAAAAGATGTCTCTTCATGACAAGGACCCTTACCCCTCTATAAGTTGCTCTACAAATCCTAATGCACTAAATACTTACCTCCGCTAACAAAGTTATGTAAAGCGAATTGATATCATCAGCACTTCTTATAGGCATTCCCGTTATTTCAGTTAAGTTTTTAAAAAGTGATTCATAGCGCGCTAACTCTGCTTTCACCTCCGGTAATTGATTTACTTCGCCACGTGCCTCAAAATAACGCGGGCAGGGTGTTCGAACCAGAAGCAGCTGAAATATTTAAAAAACGTTACATAAGCATAGGACTTTATTTAAATAATACCAATCATTTAAATATATGTATTTTACCGAATCCTGTTCTAAAGGCTCTGAGAAAATTGGTATTGGCTGCCAATCATAATCGCTATTCCAATCCATGGCCGTTTCATGTGGTGCAAAAAAGCTAGCGAGTATGGTGGCTAAGGACATCATGGCGCGCGGTGAAGCAGTCGCTTGAGCATGGACGCGCTGTATAAATATATATATGAAAACATTTGGTTTCGATTTCTTAGTAAATTTTCAGTGGTTCAATTGCTAACTTACGTCTGGGGAATAATAAGGTTCCAAAAATTTGCCATAACGCCTGTTTAGCCATAGGCCAATGTCAAATAGTTCGCGTTTGCCATTCTGTTAAATAAAATACGAATAAAATATGTATTAATTCAAATTAGTCATAAATTAAAAAGCCAAAATATTTATTTTTTTAATAATATTTATTATATAAAATATTACATTTATTACTCACATTTGTTACATGACCCCAGCCGGTGGGTTTAAAACCATCTTTTACGTATGGATCGTTAGGATAGGTATTTACGGGAGTGCGTGCGCCGTGACGTGTCACCTGAAGAATCAAGGAAAATACATATTATTTACATATATAAAAATATTATATTTATATATATAATTGTACATACATATGAAAAAAAAATTTTGTATAAATTGGTACATAAACTATTTACGGAATCTGATTTATCATGAGTGGGCTTTATTTCCCCCGAACCGGTTCACTTTACACTTTTCGTTTTTATGTATACACTACGGGCGAATGAGATAAATTTTCGGATTAATTTGTTTTCGGTAGATACTCAGAATAAGGCTGAATTTAAATTTGGAAATAAAAAAAAAAAATTAATGAATTCTAAAATATGTAAATTATTCCAAAAATCAGACGTTTACGTCCATTAACCCAATATTCTGGTTTGAATTATAAGTATTTTTTTCCAAAAATTTTCACATATTATTTTGTAAAGTGCATATGAAAATAATTTTATATTTACAGTGTGTTCAATGTTGCACAGATTTAACTGTAAATTGAAGTTTTTTTTTTGATAAGCTTAGAGTTGTTTAAATTACCGTCTAGTATAAGTAAAAGTTTTTCGAAATTTCCGATTCGAAGGAATAAATAAAAATTCCTCCTACGGATTTATTGTAAGTTAATTTTTATAATAAAAGGGAAGCAGCGTTTCTCCGTTTAAAACAAATGTCCAGTCGCCACAGAAAATGTGGAAAAAATATCTTCCTAAATCACTGTGAATGAAACAAGAAATAAAATAGAAATTTCTTCAAACTGTGGTAAAGTTTTCAACAAAAAAAATAAAATGCATCAGGAGGTACTATTTAAACTTGAGGTATCGAATGAAATGCTAAATAAAATTAACAAAGCAATTCACGAAAATTAATAAAACTGAATTTCATTAAAATAACGCGTGATTTAAATGTTCCATTTTATAAAGTCTATTTTTGTATAATTTGTTTAATGTTATTTTATTTAAAATGAATAGTTTGTTGTTATTTATATTTAATAAAATTAAAAAAAAACCTTAATTTTTTAAAAACTCCCTAATTTTTGAAGGTTTTGGGTTTTTGTAAAAATACAGTTTTTTCCCCAGGAAAGTTACAGTCTCATCTAAAAACGGTGCGGTTATTGCAACGAAGCTGGGCATTCCAGCCCAATACGTACACCATTTGACTTTTTTATGTTACAGTACCAATTGAGAGAGGGCTCCCTGATTTTTTTTTCAAGCTGTTTTTTGTCGAGCTGTTTTCCAGATATCGTTAAAAAAGTTCACATTGTCGCACTTGGCTTAAAAGTTGCGGAATGATTGACAGGTTTTTAGAAAAAATTATTAATGCCCACAACTTTGTGAAAAATGAGCCCATTTTTGATGATTTTTGAAATTTTTAATTTTCGAAAGGCCTTTGGAGCATAAAATCGAAAAAAATTTCCATACCGTATTTCTGAAAAATTTTCAAATTTTTAATATAAAATGTTAATTTCCCAAAAATCCACGTACTGATTAATTTTCTTGAAAATGTTTAAAAAAAATTGTCATTCATTCCGCAACCGTCAGCGAGACGTATGCTTCTAAAACTTTTCGCTCTATCTCCTTTGTGAAATGAAGATTAAACTCGTTGGTATTTCTATTTCAAATAAAGAAGATTTCTTAATGAAATCCTTTTAAATAATAAATAAATATTTAAAAACAGCATATCTTTGAAAAAGTTTCACAAAATTTGTATTACCGTACGGTTAATCCTAGTTCGTTAATGGGATAACAATGGGATCTATTTTTTTCGAATTTTCGAATTAATGAACAACGAACAAATTTCTTCCACCTCAACGCCAAAAACTCTTACTGCATCAAATCAGATGCATTAATCAGAAATATAAAAATGCAACATATCAATTTCTCGTAATCTCTGTATATTCAAAGTTTTTTTTGGAATGAAATATGAGCAGGAAAAAATGTTACTCATACGCCATGTGTGATCAAACTTTAAGGAAAACGACAACAATTGATTACGCGAAATAAGCTTCTGAAATTTTTTTCGATTTTACATTCCAAAAATATTTTGGAAATTAAAACTCAACTGGAATAAATATAAGATATCTTCAGCGTATTTATACTATGTATATATACAAAAAAGTGCTGATTGAAATTAACAAAATAACGATTTTTATTACATAGACGCGTGGCAACCCTGATCGAAAATATTTTCGGATCAAAGTTCCCAACAATACCTTTCATTTCATATCCACATTGCGATGTTTAGATAAATTGTGTAAAATCGAAAATAAGTGGCAACCTTACACTATGTATTATCCTAAGGGATACAATTTTGTATATAGGGAAAGTATTCTTTAATATCCTTCTCTTGGTACCCATGAACATTAACTTTTTTTCTAAACAAACAAGTAAGAAAGTCTAAGTTCGGGCGGAGCCGAACATTAAATACCCGGCTCTAGGAATATTTCTGCTTTAAAAATAAAATTTTGAAAAAAGTGTCGCTTACGATATTTTGGCGGTTAGGGTTCGATATCTACTACCATAAATTCAAAAGCAATCAAAAATTGCTTTTCAATAAAGACATCGAAAATTACAGTTTTGTTTTCTTTAACGAGATTCGTTTTTCCCCACCTTTGCTTCTACAATATTTATTTACTAAACATAATTTAAGAATGCTTCAAAAATATTACTTTAAGTACACTTGGAATGCTCGAATGTCTTCACACACATTTTAAAAGTAACTTATTTACTAAGCCAATGAACAGTATTACCACTTGTATATATTTACTTACGATGTGCACTAGTTTCAGCGTTGAATTGGAGGTGTCCACCGCTGCAGTCGGGCAATCTCCATCATCCGCCCATTTGGCACTCTGCCCACCGCCAAATCCTGTGGTAGTGTAAACACAAATTACGATTACGGCCACCACGACACAGAGACTGGCCATAATCAGCAAATGTTTGCGCGTAATTTGTTGAAGAAACATTTTAAGTTTTGTATTTTTTTTATGTTTTTATCGTTTTGTTACAAAATTAGCATGCGCAAACAAAAGTTTAATGACAAAAAGTCCCTTCTTAAACAACCAGTTGTTAGCCGGAAGATAAGTATTTTTTTGTTTTTATTGGAATCACAATTAACCACTAAAGAAAAAAAACAACGCAAATTAAAATTAGGCACCAGACGTGGGCTTTTTTTAATTTTTGTTGCACTTGGTGAAAATCTGCTTTAACTCGATCACAATTAAAAACAACAAAAAAAGAGCAAGCGAACCACTCAACCGCTAAGCGTTAATAAAATGAACAAAAACTTGTTAGCAACGTGTGTGTGTGAGTTACGTTGATTTATGTATGCACATACATACATACATATGTATGTACACAATTGTGACCGTGATGTGATGTGAACGTTCAACGGCACTGGGGGCTGGCGATGGCGATGGCACTGTGCACTGTGCACTGTTTGGATTCGCTCTTAATTCTAAACTTTGTGACTGATTCAATGTGGGATTATATCTCAGATTTGAGGCGGCGGTCGGCGGCAATCGTTTTAGAATCAATCGTTCGAAATGCATGCACTTCCGTCGTTTGGGCTGATGGCGGTTTCTGCGGCAAATTAACGAACAAATTCAGCGAAAGACACTTTTCAACAAAATTGTTGATTTGTTGAATTCTCTGAACCAGCTAACCTCCAACTACATAGTGTGTAACGGCTGAACTTATGCTAGGTACTAGCATGCAGCGCTAATCGCTGGCGGCTGGCATTTAACAGCTCACTGCACTGCACAGCATACATACCTTTGTTTGTACTCTCAACTCTCTAGAATTGTGCTTTGCTTCGTTATCTTAATGCAGCGTTTATTGTTAGTAGATACAACTACATAAATATATTTATGGGCAAATATGCTGGTGCGTATGTATGCATTCATACGTAAGGGTATGTATGTTTGTGTTGTTTAATTGGCCATAAATACCAAGCAACAAGCTGGCAAACCACTAACAATTTTCACATAGCCTGAAAGCATTGCATACAACTTTGTAGTTGTTTATAGTAAATTTTTTAGAAATATATTAAAATTAACTACTTTTTAGGGTTATTTTTAGTTTAATTGACTTAATTAAATACATTCCACACTCTCATTTGTTAGAACAACGTCATATTGCCAAAAATCAGAAAAAATTCGAGGAAAATTAAAAAGCCAAAACTTAATAAATAGTTAAAAATTATTTGTTCGAAAAATATTTTGAAACAAACTCAACAACTATTTTGGTCGGTTTTCAATAAAAGGTATCTTTGCAGCCGATTCTTTTGCGAAAGGCTTCGTGTCGTTCAGTGGGAACACCTTCAGCTTCGCTCAAATTGTGATTGTTTAAAAAAATCTCGCATTAGACACTCTTTACATGAAGGTCATAAAATCGTACGAGTAGTACGAGTTACGAGTTAGTTCAGCCAGTGGACCCTCGTCAGTGCAGGACAGGAGCATAGAAAATGCTCTACACTCCCGATTTATTTTAGATCGCGGCAGGTACGGCAGTCTCCAGAGAAAAATATATTCTAGAGAGGCAAGAACTTTGTCGCTAAGAAACGTTTTTAGGCTAAGGGATAATAAGGGATAAAATAGACGAAAAAATAAAGAATCTTATTGATTTTATGTGAAAATTCTTTTTGATTTTATTTATAAGAATATCTTTTAAAAATCATAAAGAAATTTTGCTTGATTAAGAAATACTTCTTAATTTTATCAAAAACATTTCTTAATTTTATCAAATATTTTCTTAATCATATCTGATGTCTTCTTGAATTCCTTGTAAATTCATATTATTAAAAATGGAATAGTGTCGTTAAGCCGATTTCATTGGCTCATTGGAACCTTCACTTTTCACTCAAGTTGATAATTTTTTTTTTAATAAAAGTTTCTAAAATTTGCAAGAGACCAGTTGAGCCTGATTTCTGTATTTTTATTTGATTATATGATTTCTTTTAGTGCAAAGTGCAGAAAGAGTAACAATTTTGAAGAAAAAGGATTCATACTAAAAACCGGTTGAAAACAACTGTAGGGTTCTCCCAAAACAAAAAAATCGCAAAAATTTCATTTAATATAAAAAAAATCTCCAAAATTATTTCTTTTTTAAGATTTTAGTATTTTGGGTATGCAATTTTATAGAGCATTAAATGTTACTTTAGTAAGGTTCAAGTTGCAAGTGGCTAAGAGCTGGTTTCAACTGTAACTTTGTTGAATTTTCCCAATTTTTAACCGACTTCCAAAAAAGGAGGAGGATATCAGTTCGTCGGAATATTTTTTTTATGCATGTTACCGCATTACTTTGCACCACTGGACCACGTCAACCGATTTCGATATTTATTTTGCATCGGAAAGGTAGTGTCTCAGAGGTGGTCCCATACTAATCTGGTTTAGATGTGATCATTGGATCATGAAATATATATCTATATATATAAAATTAAGTGACAAAACTTCCTGTTCGCATACTCCTCCTAGACGGCTTGCCCGATATCAAAGAAATTTTCAGGGGTGATTGGGGTCTGTGTGGAGGGTGCACAGAAGAAATTTCATGTGTGTATCTTTGCACGTTTTGCAAAAACAAAAACAAAAAAAATTAATTCTGTTTGGCTTTACGTGTTTTTTTCGGATTTCTATCATTCCTAGACGGCTTGCCCGATTTCAATGAAATTTTCAGGGGTGATTGGGGTCTGTGTGGAGGGTGCACATAAAATGAAATTTTCAGAAGTGATTAGGGTCTGTGTGGAGGGTGCACATAAGAAATTTAATGTGTGTATCATTGCACGTTTTGCAATTAATTCTGTTTGGCTTTACGTGCTTTTTGGATTTTTATTATTGTTTTGCCGCAAGATTGGCAGTACTGCCTTTTACTAATAAATAAACAGAAACAGCTGGCGAATGTTTACAATTATTAAAAAACATTGACAACAATTTAATTTATAATCTTATAACTGGAGTCTACTATCGCACCCTTTCCTCAAACGTGTATTAATTCAATATTCAAATAACGTATATTTATATAATTTGAAAAAATCTCCCTACTATACAAATATGTACAGCAATATTAACTAACTAGCGAATACCGGCGTGCTTCGTTGCGCCTTAAAAGTAATTTTGTTTTGTTACTCCCTCTCACAACATTTGAAAATATTAGTTAATATTGCTGTACATATTTGTATAGTAGGGAGATTTTTTCAAATTATATAAATATACGTTATTTGAATATTGAATCAATACACGTTTGAGGAAAGGGTGCGATAGTAGACTCCAGTTATAAGATTATAAATTAAATTTCCAAGAGAAAGTCGGTTCTTTACATATTTTCTAATTACCTTCGAAAATATATTAACTCAAAAAAAAAAAATAAACAATGCTTCATAGATCGATTTTTTTTTAAATCTAACTTCATAAAGTTCTTTAAAAATATTTTGTAAATGAGGCCATAAGAGCTTAGGGGGAGAGTTACAACACAAAAATACATTTAAGGCGCAGCGAAGCACGCCGGGTAATTGCTAGTATATAAATATTTTTTTTTGTTATATGAGAATTGAAGTGGGTTCTGTTTTTTGCTTAGAAATTACTTGTTGTTCAAAGTTTGAAATAATGCGGCGCGCCATTAGCAACAACTTTTTGTAATTTATATTTTGCTCGGCCTAGGGATAGGATGGGACCCAGGTCCTACGGATGATAATACACCCCTCTACCAACTCAGCCACAGCGGCTGCCAAAGAAGGTATATAGCTACGGCATTAGCTCGTTGCATTTTCTGTGGGTTTTAGTGGACCTGTAAAATATAGTTGCCATGAAAAAAAGGTTAAAGAAACAATTGCGTATTATTATTGGGAATCTCCTGAAGATAAACAGAGTTTTCCGATCAAAAATATTGATTTTCAAAAATTCATACCATTTCTACGAAAAGTTATTTTTCTGAGCACTCCCTAAATGTTTTTTGATTTAAAAATTAAAACAAAAAATAGTGGTTTATTTTATTTCCGTTTTTTGGTATGTAACAACCCTAGGGGCGGTGGCATTAAAATTCCGACTTTATTTTTCCACATGCATTTTTAGACCAACCTAATGTATACCTGTATTTTAAAGTAGCCAGCCAGCAAAATTACCATAAACGAGCTCGCAATTGGATATTTTCTCGAAGGAAAACCGAGTAAAAAATCGTTACTTTTTCGTTTGAAATTGTGGAGCGCCTACGAACAGTCATAAACGGATCGAAGAAGAATTCGTATGTAAATGTTATATTATTATAAAATATTGCGGTTCAAGAAACATTTCCAACAAAAGAAAACGAGAATCCCTCGTAAAACATAATGTTCGTAAAATGCACGTTTCCTTGCTGGCTGGGTATCTAAATATTTATGTATGTATGTATATGTATAACTAGTATATTTTTATTATGTTTAAACCCTACAGTGCACAAGTGTCCTCATGGAATAAAATTACTAGTTCTGAGCTAATATCTAACAGAACCAGACTTGATCTGGTTCCTTTGTTATGCGATGAGGGACACTGGATACCTAAAAAATTCCCATTTCTGCTGTAAGACGAAGTGTAAAAAATTCAAATCTAACCACTATTTGTTCATCTGTGCAAGCGTAAACGTGCATGAACAGAGTAATGCGTTGTTGTTGTTTAAGCAACATCGGCTCACGGGTCGCTCGGCTATAACAATCGTCAACGGACGAGATTTTTCGTTTAGTTTATCTAAGAACTGTCTACATTGAAATGCTTATGGGACAACTATCCACCGCCAATGACACCACCATTATAAAGTAGACAAATGCAGCCGTTGTTCGGAGATTGAGCGGTAACTAGTGTTGTGGAAAAAGGAAAGCATCTTGAACTATTTTTGGGTTAGAGAAATCTCCTGCGGGGAAGTTTAAATAGAAAGTAAAAATTTGGTTAAAATATATTCTGTTTGTGGTAATTATATTTCCAGCTCGGATTAATGCGGCACC